AAATAGTTGTAATAGCTAACCCAATAAAAGTCAATAAAGTATCGCCACAAGTATGGCCTTTAACAAAAAAAAAAAAAAAAAAAAATATAGATTTCTTAAAACAATTAATCTGGGCTCTTAATAATAAGAAATTTATATTTAGAATTTCTAGTTTTCACTTGGCATCACTTATATAATGAAAATATAGTTGCATGAAAGAGGATTTTAACTTAGAACTACTATAGATGTATGCCTAAATTATTTTTGAAAAAAAGTATTTTCAGCAAACATTTTAGCATTGCTATATTTTTTGATATGAAACCCTTTATACTATATGATATATTTTGATCAAAAAATTTTGGTAACAATTTCAGCAACAATTTTAGCAACAATTTTAGTAACAATTTTGACAAATATGAAGGACTAATTTTAGCTAACTAATGTTGTAATAATTTTTTATTAAGATGAGCAATTTAGGCATACATATATAAGAACTACTAGATATAAGGATATAATCAAATTGAAAGACCAGACAATATTAAGATAATTGATAAAAAAGATTTAACTTTGTATTTCTGCAGCTTGGTTGGATGGTATATGAGCAATTGATATTAATAAAGAATATGTATATTAGAGTGTTCAGATTTATGCTATTTCAGAGATTTTTCATTGTATAAATAATGAAAAATCCCTGAAATCATATAAATCTGAACACTCTAACATGTGCTATTTAGTATTGTTGCACTTAAGTTTGGGTTTTATAGAAAATGAGTTTTTTAAAAAGTAATATCAATATAATATTCAATCTATTGAATATGAACTAATATTACAGTGTATTTATAAAAATTAGGCTAAAATTCGATTACCAAATACAAGTATTTGTTTTTCAAATTTAAAACTTTGTTACCAAATTATATACTGTATTAATTGGTGTTAAACTTTTTAGTTCTATAATCTATTTCAATAATGCATTTAACCTATTTTTCATACAATCTAATTCATTTTAGTATTTAATTAGAATAGAAATTTATATATACTGCCAACTCTTTCAAAACTGATATATATGATAGACAGGTTTTGTATTAGTATACATGTGTGCCTAAATTGCCCATCTTAATAAAAAAGTAATTATAGCATTTAGGCAGCTGAAATTAATCTTATATAGTGCTGAAATCAATTTTCATATTTGTCTAAATTATTGCTGAAATTTTTTGAACTCTTTTCATCAAAATACATCATATTGAATAGTTATTTCAGAGGGTTTTATATAAAAAATTTAGCAATGCCAAAATGTTTGTTAAAAATACTTTTTTGTTGAAAATACTTTTTTGTCGAAAATACTTTTTTTCAAAAATAATTTAGTCACACATGTATACATATTAGTATTGAGAGGTTATCAGGTTTAAAAACATTATAAGCTATTAGATTATATAGTAGGAACAGACTTAGTAGATCAGATTTAGCAGGTTATCAATTTTGACAAAATCAGTTTTGGGAAGTTCAATAGTAATTATATATTCTAATCTGGAGTATTGAGTAGCATAGTCAAAAATCAGTATTATATATACTGTAATGATATTAAATATAAGTTTATAAAATTTATTAATCATATAAAAAATGTATGTCATGAGTAGTAGTTTGGAATTGTTAAGGTTTTACTAGACAGACTCAAATTAGAACTGCTTTTCAAATGACTATTTAAAATTCATAAAGCAGGATGCATTTACTAATTTCCCATAGATTGAATTTAGAGTTATGAGTGATTTTTATATTTTTACATTTTTTTTTTATGTTACCTGATCGTGAAATTTGATTGGTTCTGATAAGTGAATAATTAGTACAGCCAATCAGAAGTGGTGAGAGAAATTAGTATATTCATATTTATATAACCTTTAATTTGTTGCATAGCATTAATGTCTTAAGGATTTTCAAGTATCTTGCTCAATGGATCAGAAGCAAATCCTTAATTAGTTGGTAGCTAAGTAAGTTAACTGAAAAAAAGTAAAGCAAACTATTCTTTTTTTAAATCCACATTTTACATAAATTTTTAGCAAATAATTATAGACACTTCAATTAATCACAATGACTGAACAATGTCTTGATTAATAGCAAATTTCATTAAGAAAAATGTTTGAAAAACTGTCAAATACATAACAAGATAAAAATAATTTATAATATTTATAGTTTCAGAGTCATTATGTTAAAGATGTCAACTAAGTAAAGACCTTCCAATAGTTATAAATTTTGTTAGGTCTATACCATAATTTTAAATCAAAAAAATATAATTTTAATTACTGTTATCAAAATTAGAATAAAAAAATGAGTTGTCTTATTTGATCTTAATATTATTATAATCTATTTCACTTAATCAAAAATAGGATTTTTATGTTTAATAGAAAATTGAAGAGAATTAGCAAATCTGTTATATCTCTAATAACAAATAATATACATGTACTTTAGCTATAGCCTTAAAGATGATATTAAATAAGAAAATTGTTAGTAATTTTAAATTTATATTAGGTTCTCTATTAGTTCGTTACTATAATAAACAAACTTTAATTTTTAGTTAGTAAAAGATTTAAATTCCAAAATTAATTTGCATCTTTGCTACTGCTTGAATTAAAAAAAAACTTTTTTGAAAAAAAATATTTAAAATAGAAAAATTTTAGATAAAAAAAAAAATTTATTTAAAAAGAATTTTATTTAAAAAAAAATTTTATCTAAAAGATCTGTGCAGCTGTATTACCAAATATCTGATTTATATAAAAGATTAATTTAGCAGATTAGCATGTATGTCTCAAATTGTTTTTGAAATAAAAAAATATAAAGGATCAACTAACAACTCTAACATCAACAACATGCTAGTGCTATTTTAATACATTTTTAGAAGAAGAACTATTATGTAAAAAAATTTTAAAAGCAATTAGCTCTTTAATGCCAATTTCTAAAGAACAACATCAAAAATTAGAAGGACAATGTCTCTGTCAGATATATTATAATCGAGAAATTGTTAATAAAACTCATTATCAAATACATTAAACAAAATTAAATGAATACTGTGCTTATCTAAAATATAAAATATATAAGCAACAAATAAAAAAAAAGGGCAAACAAAAACTAAGGATGCACTTATTAATTTACCTGTTCGATTTTGTAAAGTATTAGAACTTGACTCAACTTCTAAAATATGTCATAGATGTATAAAGTTTACAAACAATGACCCAGATTATATTACAAATAATAATGATAGTCAAGCAACTAAATGACTTCCTCAAAAAAAATCAATATACAGAAAAAATTTAAACCTTTTCAAGATCTAAGCAAGTCAATAAAATACAAATAATATAAAAACATAGTAACTTCTTTTTCAACAATATTTCACAATGAAATACAATCAGCATTTCATTCAAATGATAAAGTAATTTTAAATAAAGTAATATTTTCAGCAAATAATCAACAATTTCGAGTTATATATAATCAGCCAAATAATAAAAATCCAAAAAAACTAGCTATTGTATGTACAATGAATAAAGAACTTATTTCTTGAAATGTATATCGAGCTATTACAGAAATCCAACAAGATTTATCTAGAGAATAGGTAGTTTTCAAAACAAAACAATAGATTGACGACCAGATGCAACAAACAGTTTCAATTTAAAATATTAATATCAATTCAAGTATTTTACAAAAAATTAATTTAGAAACAAATGAAAATATAGTAATGGATATTGATAATACTGAAATTGTTGAAGAAGTTACAAAATCAACAGGAAAGGCAGCATATAGGTCATTAAAAGACATTTTATCATATATTATTCCTTTTTTAATTCATAAAAGAATTCTTCAATTATCAGATCCAACTTTATATATCTGAATTTTAGGAGATGACTATAATGTTAAAAAAAAAAAATATGTAATGGTTATATTTATACTACTTAATGATTTAAATACTATTTATTATCTTGAAAAGCATTATACTCTTCTAATATATCTGGGTATTGAAAACTATGAGACTTTGGCAATTGTATTAGCACCATTAATTCAGAAGTTAAGTAAGATTTAATTCAGTTATTTGGATAATAAAAGATGTTATTGGAATATATGTTTATATTTTTTAGCTAACTGAAAATTTTTAATAATTTGTTTGGGACATAAAGCAGCTAATGCAGAAGATTTTTGCCTTTGGTGCTCAATTAAAAAAAAACAAAATAGAATTATGACATATAACTGAACTATATCTAAACATATAGAGGATATTAATCTTAATTATTCCAAAATACTTGACTATAAAAGTAAACTTTTATTTTCTATGATTTCTCTAACTTATTGGGTTGTTGATAAACTCTATATGATGTTATGAATAACAGATTGGTTATGGTTACTTTTAGTTTCAGAGATTGGTGCCAAAAATAATTCTAAAGTTCGTACTATAATTAGCTAAGAAATGTTGTGAATTTATATTCACTTTAATTAGTAGGAAGATCCAAACACAAAAATATGGACATCAACATCTTTAACAGAAGTAGACAAGCTAAAAGTATTATGAAATTTCAATTTAGATTTGTTATTTTTAGATAAACATCATGTTCAGTTAATTTAACAATTATAAAATAGTTTTAATGAACTTTATGAAAACATGCATAAACAACATATAGATGGTGTTGAATTCAAAAAAAAAGGTATTAGATTGGATAAATTCATTTCTAACTCCATCTTTGAGTAATTCTAATTCTTTATAAGTTTTTATTAATAATAAAACTTATATTTTTTTATTTTAACTTAGGTAATCTGAATCATTCACAAAGCTTCATTCAAGGACTTTATCGACCAAACGATATTACCCTCTATATTCATACTTTGGTTTATCATATTTTAGAGTTTCTTGATATTTATTCAAATTTTGGTATATATGGTTTTTCGAGTTCCATAGTTGAAAAAAAAAATCACCAACATGTTATACACTTTTTTTAAAAAACTTTAAAGGATAAAGGGAAAGAAGATATATACAAATCAGCAATTGTTGAAATAATGGAATAAGAGAATAAAAATTTATATTTTTTGATATATGATGTTCCTGTTTTCTTTGAAAAAATTACTTCTATTAATGTCAAAGTTTAATAATATAGATCTTTAATAAATTGTGTTCTTTATAGTAATATATATTAATAAGTTAAAATTATGTTTTAGTTTACTATTGGACAATACTTAGTTTGTGTAATCTGGTAAGTAATTATTAGTTTGTATGAAACTAAATATTTATAAGCACTTACTATCAATAATATTTTATTTTATTTATAATAAGTATAAAGACTATTGAGTTTGCCAGTTTATTTCAAATTGACAATTTAGATTCATTAAACAAGATTATTCATGTTAATTTTGCAAGTTTAAAATCAACTCGATTAGTGTTATGACTGTTTTGTTAGTCTATTTAAAATTATAATTCAAACTTTTAAGTATTTATTTCTAGAACATTTAATTTATATTGATATGGTACTATAAAATTCAAGTATAATCTACTTTTCATTAATTTAGTAAGCACAGAGATTATTTAACTATATGTTTATATTATTTACTATCTGTATTTTTCAGATAATTTCATTTGTAGATTAGATATTCTAACATGCTAAAGGTAGAAACTTTAATAGATAGCTTAATGCTATAATGTTGAATTTAAACTAATAATTAAGTATTTATTACTAAATAATATTCTTATAATAGCTTATTTATATTAAATTGGTATGTAAGTATAATTAATTACTTCCCAGACCATTAAAATGTAAGTACAAGATTATTTATTGGACTGTTTATAATTATAACTAATTTCTAAGTATTTTTATTCATGTTAATTTGGGGGTATGTAAGAACATTTATTAATTCATTTATTAATAAACATTTACTGCTATATAGTATTGCCTGAATCATTAAATATTAATCCTATAAGTTTAAAAGTTGTAATTAATTTACTTAGAAATCAGAAATTTACTAAACAATAATCCACTAATCATATAGGACATTACTACTGTATTACTGAAAAAAAAAACAAAAAAAAAAGCAATTTAAATATTATTTGGAATCTGTTAAAGGCAAAGATTTAAATAAACATCTAATGTTAGATTTTATTATAAAAATAGTGAAAATTTAATCAGAAAATCTAATATTGAACTTTTATAAAATAAATGTAGTAATAGTGTTGCAAGTGGATCAAACTAAAGAAAATATCTAATAGTTTAAACTTATAAGTCTACAATACAAAGTAAAAAAACTTTTATATTAAAGATAAATAAATAAATACAATTGTCTTTCTGCTATCTATTTTTTTGATACCTATTTCTAGATCTTTATTTCTTAACAACTATTTTACCAATAAATAATATTTTAGAATACAGGTAGAACTATAAGAAATTCAATAAAATAATTTTTGATAAAGTGGCTTTCAGGAAATCATATCAGAAGCTTTTAGAAAATCAGATCAGAACTATTACTAGATATATGTAAAAAGGATTGTGCCTGAGTAAATTGGTAAATTTATTGATTCATTTAATAATAAATACATAAATTATATAATAATGTTTTAATGTAAGCTTCAAATAAATTAATGCTAATTTAAAGTATTTTTTTTCATCATCTTATAAATCCAACAGTGAAAATTTTTACCTGTTTTTTTTAACTATAATGACAATTCTGGCTTTGATGTAATTATAATATGAAGAGTCTAATATCTGTTTAAAAAAATAAAATTCGACTATTTATAAACAATATATAATTTAATAATTCTTACAACTAGCAATGTGTTATTGTTAACTTGAATATTATACATTAGTAAAAATTTAACTATTGTATTAGCATTAGAGGATCCATTATTAAAAGGCTTGGTATAATAATAACTGTATTTAGTAGTATGCTATATTCATAAAAATGATTATTGTTACAAGTTATGAACAAGATTATAACTATTTGTCTAATATTAATTTATCCTCATCTTGCTGTTTAAAGTCAATAGTAACTAAATTTCACATATTGTTATTTGATTCTAAATAAATTAAAAATACTTTTAAATATTAAATATACTCTGAAAAAAAAAAAATCTGGATTTAATCATTTCAAAATCACTTTACTGTCCAACATTCTGAAATCTTTAGTTGATTTCATATTCTTATGATATAGTGATAATCTGAATTGAATATTATAACTTGAACTATAGAATTGAATAGGAGAATTAATAACTAGTCTAAGATTAAGTGGCATGCGAGAATAAGTAATATTTGAAGGCTTCAGGAGGGCCTAATCATTATATGAAATAGTGAAGTTTTGATAGAGTTAATGTATTATTTAATGAGATTGCATATTGATTTTAAATAACAGTTAAGTAACTATAATAATATTATATATATACATCAAATAAGTAATAAACTAATTATATCTTGGCTGTTGTACACCTTTCTACAATATAATTTCAGATATTTCATTTATGGCATTCACTAGATCAGACCTCTGCTAACAGGTTTCAAATATTACAATACTTAGATACTTATTATTTTTGAATTTTTATTTTTAAGAATCTATATGCCAATAAATAATAAAAATGCTAAACTTGTTTTTATTTCAAATGAAATTTAATCCTATTTAAAATAAAATATTGTGCAATATTAAATTGGATAGAAAGAAATCTAGTATCTGAAATATAGTTAGCTGCATCTATAATTTTCTTGTATTCCCATCTAATTTTTAATTTTGATGTTTTATTTTCTGCATTTAAATTACTCATGTTTGTTGTTTGTTTTCATATTCTCGCACCTCCTACTTTTTGTCATCAAGAATTTGTTCTAAACATTCATAAGCACTAATTCCTGTAAATGTACATTGGTACCATTCACAACTTGATGAATATCAATCAATATATTTATCAAATACACTGATGAATTGACTTTCAAGATATGGTATTGTGATTACTTGTCATCCTACTTGTTGTGTACTGGTTTTTAATTTAGTTTGTATCTTATGAACCAATATGCTTTTAAATTCAATAATTGCTTTTGATGGTTGAAAGATAAGTCTAGTTCAAGATGTATTGTAATGTAAATAAGCTATTGTTTCATAATGACTTAAACCTGTATAGTTTTTGTAACCTTTTTTAGAACATAATTTACAAAAAATACGAGAATGAACTAAAGATAATATTTGAAGATTATTTTTAGTTTAATAAACTTTTCACTAATGTAAGTGTAAACCTTTGTTATTTTTAAAAGTTTTATGCTGATATAATGAGCAAAAAACTTGTATCAGGTTAGAGTTATGTTGTATCATAATTATTGGTTTACTAGTACACATATACATAAAAACTATTTTTATAGTAAAATATTTATATATATTTATCTAATTATATAAATTGTATAGTACCGGACATTAAAAGACATCCAATATAATTGGCTTAATATAAATCATTATAACTTAAAAACAAGACATCATATAAAAAATCTCTCTGCCAAATTGATAGTTCTTGAGCCATATTACAATTCTGTCAGAGGAATTTTTATTTTAGTTAATTTTTAAAAAGTTATAATGGGTTAAAGTTTACTAATTTTTATAATAAATTTAAAAATTGGCATATATATATAACATAAATAAATTACTGAATATTGATATATAAAGTGAATTAAAATTAATTCTTTGAATAAAAAAAGCAAGCCCTAGTAAAAGTAGAGTAAATTACCATAATTTTATGTAGTAGCAGTAAGTTTCATTAGCTTTCATATAATTTGTAATTTTGAACACATGTAGTTTTTAGTGTTCGATACATTACAATTTGGACCATATTATACAATAATACTGAATAAACATTCATAGAGTAGTTATATCATATATAATGTAATAAAAATTACATAAGATCTGATTTATTGAAACTTGCATATATATTGCATATTGTAAGACTACAATATAACTTTTATAATACAATTAATCTTTTAACTAGCCTCACTATTATTTAGTACACTAACTTAAAGTCAATACTACTTAAATTATTTACAGCTATTTTTATAAATTTAGGACAGTTAAAAATTTTTTTAATGACCAAATCGATAAGAGTTGGAGTCAATATTAGTTGAAATCAAAAATTTATTAATTCATTTGTCTCAAAATTTTGAAAATAGCTGTAAAAGTATATTATATAATAATTTATTTAGGCTAATTCATTCCTCATTTACTTGAATACCATTAATGATGGTAATCAAATAAAGCAAATTCAGCTCTGAGCATGTTTTAGACCGAATATTATAATAGCTCAACTTAAGACCATGTCTAATGAAAAATGAAGATAAGAGCACCTAACGTCTGGTTTAAAAATGCTAAGCATATGAACTTCAATATCAATGTGCATAGCATATGCATTTATAAAGCTTTAATTAGAACTCATCCACTATCCTTATAATTTGCTACACCTAGGGATGTTAAAAGTTCGACTCACATTTCATATGCATCTTGAACATTAAATATAGCTGAAAAAGATGTGTATTCATACATACTTTGCATGCATATACATTCTTTTAGCGCTATATTTAAATATACAAGTTGCATGTGAAATGCAAGTTGAGTTCCAAGAAACCGAACTTTAATAAAAACTTAGCTTTTGGAGTTGAGTTAACTGAACCGAACTTTTAACATTCCTAGCTACATCAGAGTAAAGTGTTATAGGAGTGTAATAAATTAGAAATTTTTTCTAGTTGTACTTTTTTTTTTAAAGTATTATTTACATGTTATTGTGGAATCTGCTAGTTTAACAGTAATTATAGCAGAATTTATAATTTAGAGCAACAGTACTAAACACTCTATCCAGAGACAAACCATAAGTGAAAAATAAGAAACTTCTAATTGGAATTGATCTGCTATAATTGTGTATGCAATACTTATGCCAATTCTTAAAAGGCTAATAGCAAAATTGATTTCATTCACAAATACTTTGAGAAACAATGTTATGATCAAATAAAATTTTGTAACTGACCTTCTTTGCCACATTTAACTAGTAATATAATGATTTTTTACTGAGTAAACTAGACTAATTTGTTGATTTTTTTAGTTGTAAAGATAACAAATTAAATAAATCAATTGTAATAGTTATTTGCAATATAATTCTGATTGTTACTTTGAAATTGGATAATAGTTTATTTCAAATAATGCCCATTTACATCTTAGCATAAGGCATCTATTCATTGATACAATTTGATATACTTATTTTAAAGATAACTTGTGAAAATTATATTTTAAATAGCACTATCATTTACAAGATTCAAGATAATGTACAGATAGGTGCTATCTTAAGAAAATATAGAAACTATTAAAGAATTTGAGTAATTCAAATAAAAAAAAAAACTTGTAATAAAAGGGTATCTTCTGCTGGATAAGTCTTAAGCCTTGCTCTGGCTTGAAAGAATAAATCAAAAATACAGTTTCTTGTGCACATACATCCTACAACAACAATAATACTTATCTTCTGGTTGTTTAATTTAAAACCATCATAACCAAACCTTCAGTGTTTAAAAGGTTACAAGAAAAAAAGATGAATGCAGCTTGTTCTGTTTGGCAAGTGATAAATACTACTCCACCTAATCTTATTGATCTTAGCTCAAGTGAGGAATATGTAAGTACTAACTCTAACAAGGACAAGAATTCAGATGATGATTTCGTAGAGGATGATGATGAATTAGATGATAATAGAGGTGCAAATTCAATAATCGACCATCTTCTTGCAGCTTCAAAAGCTAGTTTCGAAAAAAGTGATGCCCAAAAATATATACTGGGCTTTCTGCATGCACTTATCAAAGAAAAAAAAAGGCATTAAAGGATACTGCAGTAGGAAGCTTAAAAATTACAAGTTTTTTTTCCACTATTAATACTCAACTACTGGCTAATGATGATGATGAAGGTATTGGAGACCATAGTTTTTCAGATAAGAAATGCAGTGATAGTGAATCAGAGAATGAAGAAAGTTTGATTAATAATGCTATTGAATTTGTAAACAAAATATTGAATGAAAAGATGGTTTCAAAAACTGAA